GAACATGACCACTCTTCGGGTTCTGCTGCATGTCGCTGCTCACCGTGACTACGAGCTTCACTCCCTTGACTTCAGCACTGCTTTCCTACAGGGCAGCCTGCACGAGGAGATCTGGCTGCGCCGCCCACCTGGCTTCACTGGGTCGTTTCCTCCTGGTACCCAGTGGAGCCTCCGGCGGCCAGTCTACGGTCTCCGCCAGGCGCCACGTGAGTGGCACGACACACTGAGGACTACGCTTGCGGCTCTTGGGTTTGCTCCTTCCACTGCTGACCCGTCGCTGTTTCTACGCACCGACACTTTGCTGCCGCCGTTCTACATCCTCGTGTACGTCGACGACTTGGTGTTTGCTACAGCTGACACTGCTGGACTCGCCCACGTGAAGTCCGAGCTGCAGAAGAGACACACGTGCACTGACCTGGGTGAACTGCGCAGCTATCTTGGCTTGCAGATCACCCGGGACAGAGCACGGCACACCATTACCCTGACTCAGTCACACATGGTGCAGCAGGTCCTTCAGCGCTTCGACTTCAGGTACTCCTCGCCTCAGGCCACTCCTCTGTCTACTCGCCACTCGCTCTCAGCTCTGCCTTCGGATGAGTCCGTAGAGCCGAGTGGCCCGTACCCAGAGCTTGTTGGCTGCCTCATGTACCTGATGACCTGCACTCGACCTGACCTAGCATACCCTCTGAGCATCTTGGCACGCTATGTTGCTCCTGGGAGACACCGACCAGAGCACATGGCTGCAGCGAAGAGGGTGTTGCGCTACTTGTGCAGTACTTCGGGCTTGGGGCTAGTGCTTGGAGGACGGGGTCCAGTGGTCCTCACTGGTCACGCAGACGCGTCTTGGGTTGACGACCTGGCTACTCAGCGGTCTTCACAGGGTTACACCTTCAGCCTTGGTTCCGGTTCTGTTTCGTGGCGGTCTACCCGCTCGTCTTCTGTTCTCAGCTCCAGCTGTGAGGCTGAGATCTACGCAGGAGCCATGGCTGCACAGGAGTTACGCTGGCTCACCTACCTGCTGACTGACCTGGGAGAGCCGCCTCGTTCTCCTCCAGTTCTGTACGTAGACAACAAGGCCATGCTGGCCTTGTGTCGGGAGCACAGACTGGAGCACAGAACGAAGCACATTGCTCTTCGCTACTTCCTTGCTCGTGAGCTGCAGCAGCGTGGTCAGCTGCGCCTTGCTTACGTGGCCTCTCAGGCCAACACTGCTGATATCTTCACCAAGGCGCTTCAGCCTTGTGATCATCAGCGCTTCTGTACTATGCTAGGTCTTGTGCCTACTTGGCCTCACTTGCTTACCTCTTGACTTTATTTGTACTGTGATCTATATATACCTGCACTTTCTTGTTTACCCTTATATATAAACTTGCATGTGAACTGGCCTTGTGGCCTTTGAACCTGTGCTCGGAATGTGTGGTGACGTTGTGATCCACCCTGAGCTTGCTTTGCTTTGCTTTGCTTGACTGGTCTTGTGACCCCTTGTTCTCCCCCACCTTGCCTATGGGGGTGTGTCAAACATTAATAACATAGCCTGTTTAGGCTGTAGTGGGGTAGACACTATGGGCTACAGTTTGTTAGGGTTTCCTATTTGTACCCAACTCATTTCCTAGTAATCCATTCCTCATTTCTTTCACAGTTACACCCCAACCGGTCGACACCAACATCTCCGAGTGCATAGGACCAACTTTCTTACCGGATCCAGAAGCAGGAGATGAAGCAGCTTATCCCGAGGACACAAATCTTCCCCGCTGCACACAGAGTGGACTGCAGATACTGGGACTCGTCACCGCTGTCCATGGAGCAGCACCACCTAAGGAGCCTGCCAACATCCAGCAGGCTCTGGGGGGGGAACACAGGGAAAAATGGCGTGAAGCCATGGACAGAGAGTTAAAGGCACTACAAGAACGCAACACCTGGAAAGTCGTGCCTATCGGAGTGGCACGCAACAAGACCATTCTCACAGGAAAATGGGTTTTCCGCGTGAAAACAAAACCCGACGGAACAATCGACAAATTCAAGGCACGCTGGGTCGTGCGTGGCTTTGATCAAGAGCAAGGAAGAGACTTCACGGAAACATTCGCACCAGTGAGCCGACATACCTCACTGCGGATTCTCCTCGCGATAGCCGCCATGAACCGAAAGAAGCTTCGACAAATCGATGTCGCCAACGCATTCCTCTACGACCCCGTCGATGCTCAGATCTTCGTCGAACTCCCGCACGGGTCTAACGCAGGGCCAAATCAAGTCTGTCAGTTGGAAAAATCTCTATACAGCATCAAACAAGCCCCGAGACTGTGGCAGCAGCATCTTCACGCCTGCCTAATCCGCATCGGATTCCTTCAACTACCGCACGACCAAGGGATGTACCGACTTACGAAGGGTACCGACTACATTCTACTCATCGTCTACGTCGACGACCTCCTCTACATAGGCTCCACCAACGCCATAACAACATGGTTTGAAGGGGAGCTGCAACAGGACCTTACACTCACCGTCGCAACTACCGTGACACAGTACCTAGGACTGAACATTCAAGACGGCGACAACGCAATCTACCTCAGTGCCGAAAAGTACACAGACACTATCGCTAAACGTTTCGGCCTCACTCCAACTGTCATCTCCACGCCATACCGCTAGACCGACGGAAATCGAAAGCCTCTGCTCTACTCAAACCTGCCGGCATCCGCGACTACCAACGGAAGTTAGGCTTGTCAGAATCCCAACCACTAGACCATTGGGATAAAAGGGCTTGTTAAGTAGCGGGTCAGTGCGCCCATAACCCCCCAGGACAACGAGCCTGTAACCCTTCCCTAGGATCAATCGGGGATCACCAGTGGACCTCTGACACCCCCCCGCACTGGGATGCCCGAAGTGCACACACTGGGATTCGAACCCGAGACCTTCGCTCTGATACCATGTCAGAATCCCAACCACTAGACCATTGGGATAAAAGGGCTTGTTAAGTAGCGGGTCAGTGCGCCCATAACCCCCCAGGCCAACATGCCTGTAACCCTTCCCTAGGATCAATCGGGGATCACCAGTGGACCTCTGACAAGGCTGCCTACTCTTCGCAGCCGTCACCTGCCGACCGGATCTATCCTACTCAGCTAGCCAACTCGCTACATACCTCAAGAAGCCTGAAGCAGAGCACATGCTTGAACTCGACCGAGCCCTTCACTACCTCGTCAGCACTCCGACGATCGGACTAACCTACCACAAGACCGGAACTACGGCACCCAAACTAATCGGTTACGTCGACGCCGATCACGCTGGAGACCCCGACAACAGACGATCTCGAACTGGCTACATCTACAGACTCGAACCTATCGGGCCTATCTCATGGCACTCGAACAAACAAGAGCTAATCGCTCTCTCCTCAGCAGAAGCAGAATATATCGCACTCTGCTCAGCCACCAAGGAAGGGCTATATCTTCGCGAAATACTGGAGGAAGCAAAATTGGCTCAGTTACCCAACTTCTCCCTCTTCTGCGACAACCAATCGGCTATTCGCATAGCGATCAAAAATGGGTTCGCGAATCGAATGAAGCACATCGCCCTCCAGTACTTCTTCGTAAAAGACGAAATCAAGAAGGGAAGACTCGAGCTATCCTACTGTCCCACATCCGAGATGGCAGCTGATTACTTGACCAAGAAACTCGGAAAACATAAGTTCGAGTACTGCATGCTGCTGACTGGACAAGGACACGTCATCAGCAGCGATACTCCAGAAGTGAAGGGGAGTGTTGGAAACAAGTAACTTAAATGCTTCTGAAGTATCGAAGTGTCGACACGAAACGAAGCAGACTACAGCGAAGAAACACACGAGTCAACAAAAGCAACCGCTTGAGGTTACGCGAAGGTCAAAGGTCGCTGACCTTTGACTTGACGAAAAGTACAGTGCGACAGCAAGGACACATAACTGACTCGTTACTGAGCAGTTACCCGAGTCGGCACTGTATCGAACCGCAACTGCAAAAACAGTTAAAGTAAAACCTTTCGTATTCCTTTGTAATCATATAAAAGCCTTGTACGGTATGTCTTTGTTATAACCAACTTATCTTGTTCTCACACACTAGTACAAGGTGGTTCAGCAACTCTGATATTACAACGCTTCCGCAAATGCAACATCTCTACTTCAACCTCGATCTTAGCCTTGAAAGATCCTAAGGGCCTTTCTCAGCCCAACACCTGGGGTGATCCTAGGGACGATCAACTTCTGAGCGCAAAAGTAACATTCGTGTTCCAATCCACTTTCGAGGCCAATGTGTGCTGTACTTGAACTTCTAATAACACCAAACATATCTTCATTTTACATTTTTCTTAAAAGAAACAAAATTAATATCATAAGCCCCTGAACTTATAAACTTCTGACACTATGTTTAGACTCCCCACATTTTTTGTGTTAAGACCCTAGGATCTTACATCCGGGGGATTATGGTACTGTTGACCCAGTGCATTATTGGTGGCCAGAAGGGTGGGGGGAAAGAGAGGGGAGGGGATGGATAAGCTGCAGGAAAGATGTCACTTGGTAGATGCAGGCAGGAGCTTCAACAGCTGCACTGCCCAGGAGAGCAGGTACTGCAGGGAGGGAGCACGGGGAGTGCGGTGACGGGAGAGGACAGTGCGGTGAGAGGGGAGGGCAGCGATGTGAGAGGGGGAGGTTGTGCAGTGAGGGGTCAGGGCAATGTGGTGAGGAGTTGGCGGACGATCATTTGGATGGGTGCGCAGTCAGAGGAAGACGCATACCGGGCAGTCCCGCATGGAGCAGCGCACGCATGGACGCACGCACGCACGCACGCACGCACGCACGCACGCACGCACGCACGCACGCACGCACGCACGCACGCACGCACGCACGCACGCACGCACGCACGCACGCGCACTCACACGCAAGCGCGCACGCGGGCAGCCGAGCCTGGCTGCCCGCGACAAAAACATGGTGCAGAGGAACTCACAAGAGCAGCAGAGGCACTCACAAGGGCACCAGAGGCACTCACAAGGGCAGCAGAGGCACTCACGAGGGCAGCCGAGCCTGGCTTGAAGGACGGCTCGGGGATGTCCCTCACGAACCTGGCGGTGCATGGATGGGCCGTGCGAGGTGGAGCGGACCGGGATGAGAGGAGCAGCGGGATGAGAGGTCGCAAGACGATTGGAACATGCAGCAGCAGGACTGGTGCTCACAGGCCCAAGGGGCAACGAGCATAGCGTGAGCATTCCAGCACATGGGTCATGTGGACATTCATGCTGCATCCACATGCCATTCTCGAATCTGTACATGTGTTGATTTAATGTGGGCACGCGATTGACTGTGACGTTGTGCATGCGTGCATGTGCCATGTCCATGTCACAGTGCACTCACACAATGCGCAGAGCACCGTTCTCAGGTTGGCAGCGAATGAAGGAACAGCCGCGGCTGAATGGGAGAGGCCGGCCGTCCACCTCTGACGACGAGGGGGAAGGGCGGAGGGGATGGGAGGAGGGAATGGGATGAGGGAATGGGAGGAGGGAATGGGAGGAAGGGGATGGGAGGAGGGGATGGGAGGGAATGGGAGGAGGGGATGGGAGGAGGGGATGGGAGGAAAGAGATGGGAGGAGGGGATGGGATGAGGGGATGGAAGGAGGGGATGGGAGGAAGGGAATGGGAGGAAGGGGATGGGAGGAGGGGATGGGAGGAGGGGATGGGAGGAGGGGATGGAAGGGGATGGGAGGAAGGGGATGGGAGGAGGGGATGGGAGGAGGGGATGGGAGGAGGGGATGGGATGAAGGCAATTAAAGGAGGCAATAGAGGGGGCGATTTGCACAGGAGAGGGGGAGGAGTGGCATGAAAAGTGTGGCTTGCCTGCATGCCACATCACCCCACCTGCGTGCCACATCACCCCATCTGCGTGCCACAGCACCCCACCTGCGTGCCACATCACCCCACCTGCATGCCACATCACCCCACCTGCGTGCCATGTCACCCCACCTGCGTGCCACATCACCCCACCTGCGTGCCACATCACCCCGCAGACACGGGCATCCCCGGTGGAGATGTCGTCAATAATGAAGGCCACTCCGGGCGGCATGGCGTGCAGCACGCGCCTCAGGTGCTGCTCCACCGCCTGGGGGGCACGTGGGGTGTGTGGTCCGTGGTGTGGGGGGCGGAGCACGGGGAGGAGGAGAGGCGGAAACAGGACGAGATGGGAGGGTGGCGTACGTGGTAGGGGAGCAGGAGGTTTTGGAGGGTTTCAAACAACACTTCCAAAGCCTTGCAGCTTGCATGGCAGCTTGCATGGCAGCTTGCATGGCAGCTTGCATGGCAGCTTGCATGGCAGCTTGCATGGCAGCTTGCATGGCTGCTTGCATGGCTGCTTGCATGGCAGGCGGGGCAGCGGCGCACCTGTTTGCCATGGAGGGCATCACGGTAGATCATATCTTGGTACTCACACCGCTCCGCCATGCACGCCACTGCGCCCGCCACGTCCCGCGCGTTCACTGCCGCGTACATCCGCTGCGCCACCTGCCACGCCTCCCAGCCATGCTGCCCCTCGCCCCCACCCTTCTTCCCGTCCGCCTCTCCCTCCCCGTCCCCCTCCCCACCTCCTCCTTCCGCGCCCCCCATAGTCGCTCGCACGGCGCGCCACCTCCGCGCCCCCTGATGCGCGTGCGCGCCCACCATCGTCTCCCTGCGCGCCCGCCCTGCTGCGCGCGGCGGAACCGCGAGAGCGACAGAACCCTCGCCGCTGCTGCCGGAGGCGACGGCGGCGGAGGCAGTGCAGCCGATGAGGGCGTGGCAGGGGAGAGGGCGTGGCGGCAGAGGGAGTGACAATGCGGCAGAGGCCGCCATGAGTGCGCGCGCTGCTTGCTGTCCGCCGCTGCTAGTCGCGCGCTGCTGCTCTGCCGAGTGCGCTCAACGTCCGCCGCCTGCGCTGCCGGCGCGCTTCACAATCGTTTCAGCGCGACGCTCTGGTTTGTCGTCACACACGACACTCGCAGGTACCTTGTGACGCGCGACGGCAATTCCCGTTCGTCATCTGGCTGTTGCCCTGAGAAGATGCAAGCCTCAATTGGAAGGGTGTGTTTGCTCATGATTTTGAGAGAACTAACAAAGTTTTGAATGAACTGAGTGCGCGGAATGAGTGAATATCGAGATTGTTGTGATTACAAAAGACTGACGATAATATAGGGGGGGAAACCTAACTAGGTGAGGACCACGGGGAAACTAGGCTTGGAAGTGTACCGATTATTGCGGGGCGACTTGTGGTGGTTTGGGCCGAAATTGTAGGCCGAGATGGTACGAACCCCTACGAACTCTACCCGCTAAAGTGCGACTATTTCCTTACGTTCAGCACTATATTTTTTAGTTCAGGCTTGCATGTCTTTATATGATTATCACATGATTCAATAAAGTATTATAGCTAGCATAAAATTACTAGTTATACTGGTGGTGTTCTGTAGGCACTAGCAGAGGGGGGGCGAGGGGAAATAGGTAGCTTCCCCCTCTGCGTTTTTTGGTACGACACTTCGGTCGGCCCGTAAAACCATGCCGAGCCAGCCATTTGCCCTCCGAACGTAATGGAAGGTAAATGGTGACAGAACGGTCATTTACCCCCAGGGATGTGCATTCATACGAAGCATCCCATTTACCCTCCCCACCTTCCTTCCCAGGCAAACCTTTCTTCCTTGGCCTTGCCTTCCGTCAACCACTCTTCACGGGGAAGTGCGAAAGTCAGGAAAGAGAGGAGCTGGGGGAGGGAACACCAACACCGTACCCTAGAAACCCAAGTCTGCTATTTACCGTATCGCCCCAGATATAAGCGCAGGCCTATTATAAGCGCATGCGCTTATATCTGGAGCAATGCGCTTATGGCCGATCCTCAATTATAAGCGCACTCCCTGTAAAACCCTATTTTATTATAAGCACATGCATAATTTTTTATTTAAAACATGCTAAACACAGTAACGAGTTTCAAAATTGAAGCGAGCCTAATTTCATAATCGCTTCGTCAAACAAGATGTCCTGAGAGGGGAAGACCAGCACGAGGTGGGGTGGTAAAACTGCCAGCCAGGCGCGTCAAGGACAAAGCCAAGGAAGACGCAGGGGATAGCACGGGCGGAGAGCTTGTCCGCGGACATATCACGAACAAAGGAACGAGATCCCCAGACCTGGAATACTGACGCATCGCCAACCTCCCCTGTCCAACGCAGTGTCGGCGAGGTCTCCGGCAAGGAGACACAGAGCCAGAGGTTGAGCTGATGCGCAGCGTACTGGACCGCAAATGGCCACAGAAAATGGGGAGCAGCCGCATGGACCATGGAGGTACGAGCGACCTCCATGACTAAGCCAATGCGGCGCTCAGCAATCCCACTTTGCTTAGGGGAGTCCGGAAGCGTTAACGACTGGAAAATGCCCTCCCCACGACAAAAGTCCCGCAAGAGGTTGGAGGAGAACTCACCAATTCTGTCAGAGTGCAGACGCAGGAATGGAAGGTCCTGGCCGAAACGCTCGCGGAGCTGGAGACGGACCGTGCGGATACGAGGGATCAAGACATCAACAACCTGACCCTTGCTGCGCAAGGGGAAGACCGTGGTGTACCGCGTGTAGTCGTCAACCACCAGCAGAAAGTAGCGCCCGCGGCTCTGTCCACTGACGCGGGCTGGGCCCCATGCGGCCATGTGGAGATTCTGCAGGGGAACACTCGTCGGGGGAAACAAGGAGGAGTGAGGAGCGGCGCGCTGCCGCCCCTTGACACAAGAGAGGCAGGGCGGGGCAGGCGAGGGCGGCAGGGAGGCAGGGACCTGGGAAGACCAGAGACAAGAAGACGAGAGTGCATGCCACGAAGGCGTGGCAGGGAGGGGTGACCAAGGCGGTGGTGCCACAGAAGAGTCTGGTGCGACAGGAGGCGACACGAGAAAGAGGCGGCTACCTGACCTGACGCGGACACCTGGGCAGGCGCAGCTACCTGAGGAGGCTCAGTAGCCAGTGTGTACAGACTCGACCCTGGCCGACGAGTGAACGTGGCCAGGTGACGCCCCGTCCGAGTGCACGTGCAGATCGTCACACGCTGACCCCCAGGAGTGGTGGTAGTGACCATCGCATCTTGGAGGGCAGCGGTACTCACCAAGTTCGCAGAGAGCGAGGGGAGGTGAAGACCAGACAGTGAGCCGGACCGAACCGCCGGACACGGGAGGACAGTGGAGGAACGGGACATGACCGGGCCCCCAGAGGGGTCAGCCAGTCGGACCAGGACAAGTGTACAGAGAGAAGTGAGAGTGGTGCTATCACGAAAGAAACAAGCAGAGGCGCCTGAGTCTAGCGTGAAGGTGTGCAAGGCCTGAGCAGGCGCAGTACCAGGGGGAGTACCAGACTCACTAGCACCTAGAGCAGCAGCAGCTATACCTGGATCAGGCGGCACATACCGGTAACAGTCACTCTCAGCACTAACAGACAAAGCATACATAGCAGAAAGAATAGCATCAAAGTCTAGGTCAAAGATAGCAATCCTAGACCTAAGCAGATCTGCCCAGCGAGGGAGCTCGACGTCGTCACCAAACTCAGCACGCCAAGCATCGTAAAGGCGGGAGAAGCAGCGGTGCTGAGTGTGAAGCCGCCCGCAAGTCTGACTAGCATGGTAATCCGTGCGAATGACATAAGGGAAACTACCCCTAGACGCCCCATGCAGAAACCACTCACGAAGCTGCTGGGGCGACTGAGTCTCGCTCCGACGCTGACCACCTCCAGAACCAACACGCTGAGCTCCAGTCCCACCGCCAACAGTCCCACTTCTGCCACCGCCACCACTCCCACCGCTGCCTCCACCGCCGCCACCAGAGACCCCACTCCCTCAACCAGTCCCACCGCCGCCACCACCTCCACTGCTGCCCCCACCACTACTCCCGCTGCCACCTCCACCACCGCCGCTGCCACCTCCACAACCCTTGCCACCCTTGCCCTTGCCGCTGCGGCGCTTCGCACTAGCGGAAGCAGCCTAGATGTCCTCAGTAACAGAGACGTCTGTAGCAGCAGAAAAGGCGTAGGAGGGGGCAAGGGGGGAAGGGAAGCACCCCTCAAAGAAGGGCGGGCGCGGAGTGCCATGAGCAGCACCTACAGCAACTGCACTAGTCTCAGCTGCAAGGAGATGCTCCTCGAGGAGGTCAACAGTGAGAAAGGTGGGGTCAAGAGAGAGGAAGTGGTCCCTGACAGAGCGAAGAGAGTCAGGGAGGCGAGTGAATATGAAGTAGAGGGTGCTGAACATCGGGGGCTGGTTCTTGTCATGGAACTCAGCAGGGACGGCAGCGCGGTAGCGAGCGTCGCTAGCGCGAAGGTGGGAAACCACGTCCTCGACTGTGGCAAAGGTGGATAGCTCGGGGAACAGGTAGGGCAGAAGCAGGCGGCCTAGAGCAGCAGTGGAAGGGGAGGAGTAGCGAGCGACTACAGCGTCGTACAGTGCCTGTGCGGTCCTGTGCTGTCCGAAGTGAGCGCATTCAGCTAACGGAAGGTGGTTGCGAATGGCTAAGCGGGCAGCAGCGTCACGAGAAAGCCACTGTTAGTGAGTCGCACTGTCAGCTGTGGTGGGAGGGGCAGTAGCGGCACCGGACACGTGGTCAAACAAGAAAACACCGTCCTTAGAATCGCTCAGTAGGTACAGCTGCATGTCGTCGAGCCACGTGTCAAACTGAACCGGTCTACCCTCATGATCGAATGCGAAAACTCGAAGCGAGGCCATAGTGGCACAGTATGCAGGAGCAGCAGTAGCAGCAGTAGCAGAAGGGGCCGAGGGGCCTAGGGGCCGAGGGGCAAAACACGAAGAGTGGGGGCCGTGGGGCCGAGGCTAGGGGCTGAGGGGCCTGGGAGCCGAGGTGCCTAGGGGCCGAGGGGCCTGGGTCGCGGGTCACAGGGTGCAGGTCGAGGGGCCTGGGGGCGGGATGGGCCGGAACCGGGGCCTTGGGACGTGACGGGCCTAGGGGCGCGACGTGCAGTAACCGGGGCCTGAGGGGGGGGCGCGACGGGCCTAGAAGCGCGAAGGGCCGGGACCGAGGCCTAGGGGCGCGACGGGCAGGGAACGTGGCCATGGTGCGCAATCGGCTTAGGGGCGCGAAATGTAAGAGTTACAAACGAGAATGAATGGACTAGCAAACAGTTGGGTACAAGTGCTAACCCTAATTGGGTTGTACCCCTTATGAGCTACCCCACTACAGCCTACACAAATGTATAAGCTATAATGTTCTGACACACCCCCATAGGCAAAGTGGGGGAGAACAAGTGGTCAGAAGACCAGTCAAGAAAAGCAAAGCAAGCTCAGGGTGGATCACAAAGTCACCACACAGTCCGAGCACAAGCAAAGGGCCACAAGGCCAGTTCACGTGCAGAGACATATATAAAAGAGAACAAACAATACAGTGATCATACCCTAGCAAGTGCAAGCATGTAGGTATATATATAGATCACAGTACAAGCAAAGTCACGTAGTAAGCAAGTGAGGCAAAGTAGGCACAAGGCCTAACACAGTAGAGAAACGCTGATGATCACGAGGAAGAAGTGCCTTGCTGAATATATCAGCAGTGTTGGCCCTATTGGCCACGTAAGCAAGACGAAGCTGGCCACGCTGCTGCAACTCTCGAGCAAGGAAGTATCGCAGAGCGATGTGCCTGTGCTCCAGTCTGTGCTGTTGACACAAGGCAATCATGGCGTTGTTGTCTACGTACAGAACTGGAGGCAAAAGAGGCTGCTCTCCCAAGTCAGTCAGCAGGTAGGTGAGCCAGCGTAGCTCCTGTGCAGCCATGGCCCCAGTGTAGATCTCAGCCTCGCAACTGGAGCTGAGAACCGAAGACGAGCGGGTAGACCGC